GAGGATGGGAGGGAGCATGGCTGAACTCACATACAGCAGGGAGAGTAAGAGCAGACTTAATCCTGAAGGCAGCACAAATAAAGAAAATTCAACAACGAAAGAAGATACAAAGTTTTCAGAGATAACTAAGCACAATCAGTTAAAAACACAGAGGCTCTTTTTTTTTTTTAACCCACACTTTGCTGATTCAGAGTAGAGTAGTGTCTCCTTTCTACTCAAAACTCTTACCTCTAGCTTCCATCCTTCTCCGTGGTTCCTGCCCCCTGCACCTCACATGCTAGATCACAACCCAATGCAAGGCTCCTTTCACAAATGGATGGGGACATGATCTCCATGTGTTTCATCTTGAGACCCCATCTTCTCTCCAACACATCCTCCACTGCAGTGGAGAAGCCCCACCAGGATAGAGGAGAGTCTGGGGAGACATAGGAGAGTGTATACCCAACCTGCAGTTACCAGCTACCTTATGTTCGCATGTTTCAATTTTTATGTTTAATTTGTTTTTATTGAATTTCAAATGACTATAGACATAAAGTAAACATGTAACAAGCCAATAGAGCAGAAAGGAAGGAAACTGCATAAATACAATCGGTCTCAGCATGGAGTTACACTTAGCACCACATGTTCAGAGTGTTACAAGCATTAATGAGTCCTTACAACACCCAGGGGAGTCACTCCCCGGCCTGTCAGGCAGGTGGGGAGACAGCTCTTGGAGGGAAATATTTATTTTCCCTATAGAAAACACAGGGGAAAAAAATGAGCCCAGAGATGCTCAGGTTCCCAGCTGAGCTGGACTCAGGTCACTAGAGCTGGCTTGACACCTGGAGGCCATCCGCATGGGGTATTTGAAGTCTGTAAGGCCTCCGAGTCACTAGTGATGAAGAAAACTTTGCATTCTAGTCACTGAGGAAGAGGCCAAGAACTCCCAGCCACCAAAAAAAGCTTGGCAAAAAGTCAAATCTCAGGCTTGCCAGTCTTGACCCCTTTTACACAATGAGGGTCATCAAGAATATTCCAGATCTTTCTAGCACATGCTTCCTGGATGTGAGAGACTCATATGGGCAATAAAGCCTCACAAACTCTGAGGCTTCCTAAGATACTGAAGGCTCACTTTAGTCTGAGGAAAATCCCAGTTTGTCTGGTCCATCCATGACACTCAGCGAGAGGCAGTATTGTTTATTATTCTCAAGTTCTGTGGAACTAAATGTACATGGCAAAGAGAATTGCTAGAAAGAAACCTGGGTTGGAGTTTCCCCCATTTTCCAGGAACCTAGAAAGGTATTTTAAAGGTATTTAAAGGTATTACTTTTTGGAACAATTCATTAATACCTACAGTGAAGGGGAAACTTACTAAGAAAGACGAAAAGCCAGGGGTATGCATTATGGCAAATAAAAAAAGAATTATAATACTTTTATTTTACTTTAAAAGAAAAAAAAAAACCCAGTGGCAGAATCAGATTGCACCTGGTAACACTGGGTAACTAAAGCTGCAGTTCCAGGAATGGCTTCAGCAAGGCCTGCTGCTTTTGTCTGGCACTGCTTGGTTGCCTGACACCTATGAGCAAATGTTCAGCGGTCTAGGACTTTAGGTAATGCCATCTCTAGGAGGCTAGGTGGACAGGAACTGTCTAACTTGCTTTCCACATATCATACCATTATAAGCCCCCAAGTAGGCAGCTCCAAGCGTGGCGGACACAATACATTTTGAGGAGCATCCCTCTTATCCACGTACTTTTGGTCATGTTTACAAGTACCCACAATGCCCACCGCAGACCCCAGATCTCATCACCTCAAATTGACTATTGCATGTGGCCAGTGAGGGCTGTTTGGTCTCATTTACCTCTTTCCCATCCCACAACTACCCAGCTTGGATGCAGAGGCCAACCACTCGTTTACCAAGAGTGAATGTTTGGTGATTGGCCTACCCCCATGGTGCCCCCTGGCCTCAGCTGTGAGCCAAGGACAGTGTGAAGTGAGTCTGCTTTTCCTTCAGTTCTGTATTGCCAACAAGCAGCTTTCTTGATGTGGGAACTGAGAGGAGGAGAATTAGGAGGGTTGGAAAGGAAACTAACCTCACTAATGGAAAGGTGTTGAAAAGAGCCATGATCTCTGAAAGGAGGAACGGTTGGTTGCTAGAAAGAGAAAAGCTGCAGTGCACCCAGCCATTTGCTTTCAGAACCTCTACTGCCATAAGGCAGGCAGTGTGCTGGAAAGTGCCTCATCCTGCTTCCTCACTCTGTTCTCAAGAAAGAGCCTCTTCTAGTTAACCAAGCCTGGGGCTTCTCAGGGCAGACCCCAGGGAGTTAATCAATGCCTCCCCTGCCTCCCAGCCCTGTCACACTAATCATTTTGAATCTTCTAAGCCCTCTACCTCCCTAAACTGGACCACCATTGCTAGTGGGTTGGGGGAAGGAATGGATCAGGGAGGCTGTCCCTAACCTGTCCCTAGTGCCATACACCTTTCCAAGAGGCAAGAGAGCCAGAAGTAGCAGCCGTGGGAAGAGTCGGCTTAAAACAAAAACAGAGGAGAAGAAAAAAATCGCCTTGGAATGTGTGCTGCATTCTAACTAGTCCCTCTGGGTCAATGCAATAGGGGTGGATTATTGCAGGCAAGACCTGGGCTGCCTCAGTAATTCTGTAAGTTTGATAAGAGATAGCTGGCTGCCTCTGCTTCCTTCCCTGAAAGTAAAACAGACATCACCTTTGCCTTGTCCCACCGGCATGTGGTATGGGGTTTCTAGGGGTCACACTGCCTTAAAATTGAGAAGCCTTGCTCTATTATGACACATGAAAGCCTATTTAGAACTCCCTGGATGCAGCCAGCACAAATAAAGCTATCACTCTCCTCGGGAAATTCAGAATTTGGTAGAAGGGAACCAGTTCTGAGAAACCCCTGTTCCCACCCTCAGCCCCCAAGACGGGAACAAGACTTCTGAAATCATACTTCACCTGGGGAAATATGTTTCTTTCTACTTCTCTATTCCAGGGGTTGTTGATTCGAAGTATGAGCAAATATTATGCTTCTCTGGATTTATTTCTAATGAAGAGTTATGCTAATTTATATGTAAATTCAGTTTGGCCCTGGGGCTCCTGGCAAATAGCCAATGGGGCTGCTGATGGTGGGATTCTGCAGTTGTCTCCAGGTTGGTGCTATAAACAGGATGGAGGCTCTTTAAGACAGGTGACCGAAGGCATGGATGGGTCTTCCTCTCCCATCCCCTGACACCTTATTCAGCACCTTGCCTAGTTAGTTTCCATGTCTACTGTTAGAAAGCAAGGAGCTATTTCCCTGAGGGGACCCGGTCTTGAACTCAATTTCCCTACTGCCACTGTTAGACTCAGTTTGTGAAATCCTAGGTGCCTGGAATAAGGACAGTACACACACACACACACACACACACACACACTGATCCTACTCTGTATTACGTAAGAGGAGTCAACCAAGGATGCCTCCATACTCTTTGCACTTCTATACCCCCATTGCCCAAGGCGCAGGATGGAGAGAGAGCTCAGAGATTGAGCCCCTAGGGTTAAGTGTGGCAGGCAGTCTCATGGATGTTCCTGCATGATCCTCCACCCTGGACCTTCTTGTCATGGGCTAATTCTTCCAGCCTCCCTTTCGTCCCTAAACCACAGCCAAGACGCACACACGTTTGCATTTCATTCTTTTTTTTTTTTTTTTTAGCCTGGTCCTTCTGTCCACCTCATGTAGATCTGCAGAGCTCAGGGGCCATCACTCAGAAGGGTCAGAGGGACTAGAGTTTAGGTCTCTTGGGCGAGATCATGAGAACTCTGTACTGCACCAGGAGCAGAGGCGCAGCGGTGGGACCGCCATCCCTTTTCACTCTGCCAGACAGAACTTTCCTCTGGGAATGCAACTGCATAGGAGGGAGAACCTTGCCTCCCCTCCTCCCTGCTTCGGGCTCCAAGCCTCTCCGAGAGCCTTCCAGGACCAAGCCTGTCAAAGTTTCTCTGCTTGTTTCAGTCTCTGAGTTCCAACACCTTTAATCGTAAAGGGGCAACCTAGCCCCCCGCCCTCTCCTAAAGAATGGAGGGAAGGCAAGCTGGTTAGCGGCCAATTTCACGGCTGGGATGGACTCGCAATGGGAGGACTGACACAGTGCAGCAAATGGACTCAAGGTGGAAGCAGATTCCCAAATGCACCTGAAATGAGCAGAGCAAAACACCGAAGAACCGTGGTCAGAGAGAGAGCCAGCCTCAGCAACTGCAGCCTGGCTTCTCCGCCAATAAGTAGACTGAAAATTAGCATTCGCCTCTTCGTGTCTCTGTCCTTTCAACTTAGAAAGGCTTGCCTGAATTTCAGAGTCCACCGCAGCCTGCCGCTGCTTGCACAGCCTTTTATCTGCTTGAAACGCCCACCCCCCACCCAGGCCCGCCACAAACACACCCCCAAACAGATTCAAAACTAACAGTTGTTCAGGCTCCTGCAAACGGATTTATTCCCTGAAGCCAGATTCCTGGCCAGCACCTTCCAGGAGGTACGCGATTATTTCCATCCGGTATCCCCCACCTCACCCCCAGCTGCGCTTTGCTCCTTTTGGAAGCTTTACAAGTTCACTGGCCAATATTTAAAGTTTCCTCCTGTAATTTCTCCCCAGTCGCATAAGCAGCACACTCGCAACCCGGCTGCCCTTTCCCATCTGCGACGATCCCCTGCATACATGTGTGCTGGGCTGGGTAAGTGTGAAAGATGTACATGAAGCCAGGGAGCCGGCTCACAGCCACGGACCCAAGGGGAGCAGCAGAGACACGTTTTACTCATGCACACACAGTCCCCTCATTCCGGTAGCAGCCAGAATCAAATCAATATTCTCACAGCCTTGTCTGGAGAATGAAGTCCCAGCCATGCTGGTTAAAATGTTCGCGCTTCCACCTGCAAACCGCGCAGCAGAGTCGACCCGGGAGGGAGCCTGCAAACGCTTGCAGCACAGGGTACCATTCCCTGGTGCTGCTGTAAGCAAATCAAAAGCCAGTCTTACCTTGAAAGAGGCACAGAGCCGCCAGCCCCGTGAAGATTGCCCACGAAATAGAATTGTGCATTTTTGCCTGGATGGTTTTCATATTTTTTCTTCTTTTTCTTCTTTTTTGTCAGGATCGGTTCTTTCTCTCTCTTTCCTTTTTTTTCCCCCCTCCTGATAAATTGTGCTGCTCTCAAGCTCGTCAGAGGAGATTTAAATCCACTGTTTTGCTGAAGGACACAACAAGGAAGCTGAGGGCGTGAGAGAGTCTGACTTCTCCGTAATTATCTCCACTCATACTCTGGCACTGAGGCACATTGTACAATCTGGCTCTGGACAGCCCTCCTACAAGCTGCAATCATTGGTTCTAATCCAAGGATTGACAGAGCTACAACACGCGCGCGCAAGCACACACACGCACTCACACACACACACACACACACACACACACACACACTCAGGAATCATTTGCTGGGCAAATCAAGCTGATTAAAGAGACAGGAGCCTGGAGAGATGGAATGATAAATGCCACTTTGCCCCTTGTATATTACTTTCATTTTTTAAACTGACAGCAGAGCCCCGAGCATCCGGAAATCCCTTTTCTCTGGTGTTCCCAGGTCCCCTGAACTTAGATACACTTCGCACTGGAAAAAAAAAAATCCGTAGCCAACATGGCTTGCAGGAAATTTTAAAGGGTGCATTTTCATGCTCCGTGAAACTTGCAAGAATGAGTCAAATTCTATTTGTTGGTTCCTATTTTGCCTGCAAGGGAAGTATCATTCAGTGACAGATTTCTCCTCTCCTTCTCTTCAACCTTTCTGAGCAGTCACTTTGAAAATAATAAATAACTTTCTGTTTTCTTCTCCTGTCACTCTTCCTTCAGAAAGCCTGCATCACTCCTGTTTTTCATTCACTTAATTTTCTAAAGTCACCCATGTGTATACGGTCCCACGCCAAGCGATAAAGTGTCCAGAATTTGAAAAGACAGCCCACTGTTTGATTACAGAGAAGTGTCTGAAAGAGAGCAAGGCCCCTGCTACATGGCTCAGTCAACACCCACTAAAGAGCATATTGTCAGTGTCTGTGTTTTAAACCTCCAGGGAGACGGATTTAAGCTAGATGCACTGAAGACCATCAGATTGCTGCTTTGTGTGTTGTTATTAAATGGCCTCAGATGGTTGGAGACATTTATCTCCTTGATGATATGTAAGGAAGGAAATCAAACAGATAGCTAGCTAGCTAGATACATAGATACAAAGACAGATAGATTTTTGTTCTAAGAACTGGGAAGCTCATTTTTGGCTACCCCTTATGGAAACAAGTTATATATTCTGAACAAAAGATGAACTGAGCCCCTTGCTGATGCTCACCAATTCATTTCAGCACATATTTTAGATATTCCTCCAGGCTGCCATTGTCAATCATACTTTCTGGTGATTCCCATAGAATTGTTAATGTATATATATTCTCAGTCTGCTCTTGCTAGAGCACCCACTGCCTGGTCATATTTATGGACACGAGAGTGAAATCAAGGCGGTACTGAGATTTGGGCCTACCCTAGAGGCTCATTCTTCTTGCTTAGTCAGTGGCTATGTGAGCATCTCTAGGAGGTGGGCAGCCCAAACTCTGAGCAGTGGGACCCAAAGCATCTTTTTTTGTGCCTGGACCTTTCAGGCCAAAGGAAGGTCCCTTTAGCTTTCTGAGCCTTGGGCTTGGGCCTTTGGCCAGTAAAATCAGAGAGCTGGAGATCACGTCCAAGGCATCTTGCTATTTAAAGGCGTTTTCTCTCTCTTCTGCCATTCAGTTCTAATTCACATGTCCATCCAAATGCCCTTGGTGTCATGAGCTTCCCAGGACAAGAATCTTATCTTGGGTTCTTTTGTACAAGGCTCAGCATGGTGAAATGTGTAATTAAATGCTCCAGGGCAGCAGGGACTGCAGGTGACAACAGTGCAAAATGGTCAGAAGGGAGGATTCCTTTTTACCTCCTCTCACGTCTTTCCAGGATGATGGCAAAGAGCAGAACCACCGATTGTGTTCGGTGAGCCTGGAGGGGGAAGAACACCAACACCTGTGGAAATTCTCAGAGGAACCGCACAAATCCTTTACTGTGCTCACACACATGTAGCTGACTTTTACTGTGCTCACACACATGTAGCAACAGTAAGGAAGTCACCACTACAGCCAGAAGTCACCAAGCCTCTCTTCCATGCCAGGTATAGCAGCAACACGCAGTCTTTTCTGGTATTTTCACATGAAACCATCGGGGCCTATGAAACAGCATGCCTCATAATTATTACTCTGTCCATTTCACAGATGAGAACACTGAGGCCCAGAAAACACTTGCCCACAGCTATACAGTTCTTAAGAAATAGTCAGGGTTTGAATTTAATCATCTGTGTGTTAGAGCAACTTCAAGACTGAAATTCTATACTAAGTTCTGTGAGGGACTCAAATGGATATTAAAGTTTTTTGTTTTGTTTTGTTTTGTTTTTTACGTCTTAGCCACTCTCCTATTTTCAATGCAGTGAAATTATAATTAATACATCCAAAATAACAGCTATATTAGGATAGAAAAACATACAAAACACTCTATACCGCTTTAAGTCTTAATCGAATTGCCAGTGGTTGGCACCTGTAATTGATTCTATCTGCCAGCACCTGGCGAGTGACCGTTTTCTAGGATAGCCTTCTGAAGTTGTTGGGAAAGCTCGAGAGTCATGATATGCCTTGAGGGGGCCATAGAAAGAGTGGCTCAATAGCACAGGGAGGAACACCATGGGCAGGCGATGCCATAAATTAGAAGTTAGCATTGGGGTTCCAACGGACGCGTCTGAGCTTCCCCTCACACTCTGCTGTGATGCAATGGAAAACAAAACAAAACAAAACAAGAAACCTTTTTTTTAATTATAATACAATTAAACCCAGGCCTCTGCCTGATCCTAGGCAATATTTTTCTGAGAACAGGTGGGTGGTATAACCGCCAATGGCACAGGGCAGGCAAGCTGAGCACACGCCAGGTGTTGTCCACGCAGCTTCTTTTTTCTATATTATGTGAAAGAACGTCATAGGTGGATCCTGTACTTACGTCATTTCCAGCACACCCCCTTCAGCTTTCACCGTGCTGTGCCCATCCTACTCCTGCTCAAATTCACGCCTTCTTTATTCCTGTTGTTACATATATATGCATATGTGATCACATATATTATTGTTACACATATATGCATATATAACCATATATATTATTGTTACACACACACATCTAAGGTGGGGCCCTGTGAAATTAGAGGTAATATGTAACCTGGTGTTGCTGTGCGGTTCTCACGTAGGTGGCCATGTTGCTAAGATTTTACAGGTGCAGCTCATATATAGAAAGCATGCACCACAGAGGACAGATCCAACTTCTGGCTCTTAAAATCTTTCTATCCCCCTTTCTGCAATGTTCCCTAAGACTTAGATGTAGGGGTTATCTTGTAATTGAGGATGGGCACCCCATAATCAGCCCTTCTCTGAATTTTAACCTGTTGTGGATTTCTGTGATGGTTTCTATCTGCTGCCAAAGGTTCTTTGATGAGGGTGAGAGTTACACCTACCTACGGTATCAGCTAGAGACATTTTCAATGCAGCTGGGAATTACACCAGTTTAGGACAGTGTCAGAGCACAGGGCCTGGTATCATGTCTCTCTAGGTCCGCATCCCAGTCGGCCCCCTAGAGACTGTGGGGCTCCTTTGGAGATATCCCAACTCCACATCTGTCATCCACAACAAGAGTAATTACCCCTCCATCCAGCCATAGCCACACATCACGGCCACCAAGTCATTTCCATTCATTTTTCTATTTTAACCAAATTGAGACTGATGTGGTCGAGCACATATCAGTGGAAGAAGCAATCAGGGCCTGGGAATGGAGTCTCTCTGGGATAGTAGTTTCAGAATGGGGTACCCTTTTACTGAGTCAAAACGTATTCCTAAAGGATGCCAGACCCAGCTGGGTTGGAACTGCTTGCTGCCAACCCCCCAGTATCCAAAAACGTGCTCCCTCTTTCTGAACTTGAATTTATCACATCTAGCAAGTGTTTCCAAGGGCTTCCGCATTTGGTGCAAACACACAGTTCACCTTTCTGACAGAAGGTACCTTCTCCTTTCCTTTGTTGTGAGGGGTGGCACCGCCCCCCAGCAGACAGATCCATGAGGTCAATTGACAGCTCATTTTCATGGTTACCATTGGCAGAGGGAACCCTAGTATACTTTAGTGAAAATTTTGGCTGACCAGGCTCAGGTTTCACTGAGCGAGACCAGGCGGTGGAATCACCTCCCCATCTTCCATTTGTGTCTTCATTCTGTCAGGGTGTATGGCCCCAAACAGCAAGCTGGCAAGCCACTTGACCCTGTCATTTTGGGGGTGGCCTGTGTCTGTGTTAGGGATTTCCGTGACAAGAAGCGAGGCACTGACTGATGAAGCTCTGATTGGGGGACATTTTGATTGAAAGGGGACCCTTGGAAGTCTGAGCTCCTTCCTCTCAATCAGAGAGATTTGAGCACTTCTCATCAGGCCTGCAGGATGAGCATTGATGGTGGGGTCACCACATTCATATCATGTATCGCTTGTGCTCTGTACCAAGAGCCAGTGCCTCTACAGAGGAGAATGAGTGGCCTGAAGCCGAAAATCAGCACCAAGAAAGGGACCTGAAATTTTAGGCAGAATGGTGTTCTCTTCCACCTGCATTACTTTGAAGTTAGGAGAACTTCACTATGGAGAAGATTTTTGCTGTTCGCAGATAAAGAATAAGGAAGGGGCCTCAAAAACCAAGAGGGGAAACAGATGAGGTCTTTAACTTCCAAGGAGAGGGCAGCCAGCACTGTGCTCCATAAAGCTTTCATCGTCAGGTAGCTTAAGATTCTGCCCAGTGTGTGATGAGCTACTACAAATAGGGATTGATTCTCTGCAAACCGCCCCCACGCACACCTGTCACCTTAGGCCACGACAGACAATAAGTCCAGGAAGGTCACTGTGAGACCCGGCTGCCCTGCTGTCCAAATTGCAGCTGAACCCTGAGAGCGGCCTCTGGCCCAGGAGAAAGGTGAACAATGGCCCACAAGTGGTAGGCCAGCTCCAAGGACCGGATTGGGAAGCCATAGAGAGGAGGTGGAGAGGAAGGTGTACAGTCTGTGTGAGGGAGGCAGGAAGGAGCATGCAGGCAGTGTTTTTATTTCTCTCAGCCATTATAGAAAGAACGGCGGGAGCTTAAATCTAAAGAGCTGCGCAGAAATAATGTTGAGGACTTAACAAAAGCCGCTGCTCTGCTCTGCTGTCCACCTGCTGTGGCCTGCCTCTGCAGAGGCTCTGTGCAGTGGGTGATCTTACATTCTCAGACGCTTGCATGAGCCCTGCTGTGGGGAGCAGGAGCCGGC